TTTTGTTTTGATGAAGAAAATCAATTCTTTTACTAGAATGGCAAAAATAATAAAGAAATTCTCTTCCAAGTCTGAATTAAACTGAAAGCTGTACAAATAATTTGGTATCTGCATATAATGCTGGGAATGAAATCTAGCAAGAGCTCTTAGGGCGAAGTTTTGAGATCAGGTGACCCTGTTCTGAGTAGGTAGAGGATATGGATTGGATCACTCCATGTGGGTGCAGCTGCCATGGTGTTTGAGTGTGACTGTTCAGTGACTGTGTGGTGACATGTAGCTTTGCAGAGACCGTCTAATCAGAGCTTTCCTGTAAGTGACACAGGAGTGCTTTCCAGAGGGTGCTGCACCATCCTGGCTCTCGGTAGTCAGTAAAACAGTGGGGCACTGGGCAATGCAGGAACTGACTTCTGGTCAGTGCTAGTCCTGAGCCACGTAGCTGTTTGGAGTTCTGTTCATTGCTTTGAATACTGTGGACCATATTAATAAATATCTGGTACTTCTTCTAGGTGTGATGACTACTTCTATATCAAGCACCGTGGCGAGCGAAGAGGGATTGGAGGCATATTCTTTGACGACGTGGACTCTCCCTCCAAGGAGGAAGTGTTCCAGTTTGTGAAGAGCTGTGCCAAAGCTGTTGTGCCTTGTTACATTCCCATTGTGAAAAAGCACCGCCACGACTCCTTCACACCAGAGGAAAAGCTATGGCAGCAGCTTCGGAGAGGACGGTGAGTACTGAAGGAGCTAAAGAATACACAGGAGGTGGATTATGCTGGCAAGAAAAAAACTGAGCTAGTTCTTCATGGTTACAGGTTAATGTCCTGTTGTAGTGTGGGCTAAAAAAGCTCACCAGAGAATTTCAGCATTTTTGTGCACAGAACTGATTTTGAAATCCAATACTAAGTTGCCAAAAGGGGTGCAAAGCAGGTAGTAGCATGCCCTTATCTGTATTTCCCACCTTCCTATGTTAGAATACAAGCAACACAAACAAAATGCCACGGTTTCTCTCCAGCTCTTTCAAAAACCAAGAGAAGTTGCTGCTGTGCAACAGGCAAAGGGGTATGGGTGTGCTTGGTGTCCTGAATCCAGACCTCTCCTGCAGCCCAATCACATGGGATATAGGACTACCCTTGTCACATGAGGAGCCTGAGGGTGAGGGAATTGTGCTTCCTATTCAGTAATGAAAGAAAACTTCCCAAAGTCAAGAAGTAACAGTGCTCAAGTACCTTCATCTTCTTACACACATATTTGTTCCATCTGATCTTGGCATTGAAATGAGGATTTCTGTAAAGGAGTAAAGATACAGAGGGTTGGTTTTTTTTATTCTGGCATGGTCCAAAGTTGCTGTAGCTTAAAAGACTTTGGAGGATGCTTCTAATGTGACCAACTGTTAATGTTGCAAAAGCTTAAGTACACTGGTCAATACAGTTGTACTCTGTTCCCTGTATCCTGTGATTGTGTAAGCACATGGAGAAATGAGAACACACACACTTTGTGCAGAAGTAGGGTCTTCAGTTCCTGTCTCTTCTGCAGTGAAATCTGTGATACTGGCGTGGAAAGAGTATAAGCATTTAAGTTAAGATCACTGGCCTGCAGCCATTAGTCAGATAGGCAAGCGTACTTAATTTGGTGGGACTGTTCCTGGGAACGTGGGGCTTCCAGGATCCATTCTGTGGATGGGATTTAGCAAACTTGCTGAGTTTATAAGGGGGAACAGCTTCTTTAAGCTGCAGCCAGAACCAGCTCTTGAGGCCTGCCTATTTCCCTGTGTCTGTTTGCAGGTTGTTTGGCTAGGTAAAGCTTTCCATTTTTGCAGATAGGTAAGAACTCTTCCCTTCCTGTATCTCTGTTAAATACTAACATGTCTTTACTAAGTACTAAGATAATCCCTGATGAATTGTCACTGTTCTGTTCCTATACTGTGGGCAGAAAAGTGGTATATTTTGATATTACAACTCCCAGCCAGCATTCTGAAGCTGTTTGACATCTGCTTCTTTCCAGATCTCCCCAAGAAACAAAAAATACTGTTCAGACCTTTCTGCTTATGTGTCCTTCAGCATGGAGGACTGCACAGTAGAATTCTTTCTCTGGTTATTCTTAGTTCCTTTAAGGCCCCTCTTTATGTCTGATGCCACCACACAAAAGAGAATAACCAAGGTAAACATGGTGTCGAGCTTGTCAGCAGGGTTGAGGCCTGGGAGAAGCATAGCAGAGTACAGCAGCCTGCAGAATGCTCTCCTTTGAACAGTTTGTCTGCTCTAGTCTGTTTGCCAAGGTCACTACTCCCTGTGCTTTGTGGAGTGGCAAGGTGATAATTGCATTCCTGCAGAGGATGCTAAAGAACAGTTCACTCCAAAACAGGGTTCATTCTGACACCCAACACAGCAGAAAGATAGGCAGTTTTGTTTGATATCTGCTAGTTGAAGAAGGCACAACCAACCTCTGCTAATAACCTTGTTTTTTCTTTGCATCTCTTCACTCCCCGTAGGTATGTAGAGTTCAACTTGGTTTATGACAGAGGTACAAAGTTTGGCCTCCTGACACCAGGATCAAGGATTGAAAGCATTCTTATGTCTCTGCCCCTGACTGCAAGGTAAGGCTGTAGCTATGTGGGACTGCAGGTAGGTTACTGTTCTTATTAAAATAGTTAATAGGATTAAATCAAAGGTCTGTCGTGGTGTCCCATCACTTTACAGTGGCTAGTTCATGCCTGATACAAGAACTGCCCAAATACATGCAGATGCTTCTCTGATCTCCTATACTCAGCTAGTTGCCAGTAGTGTGTGGCTGAGACATTTTCTGACAAAAAAATGGATGGTTTTTCTGCTTAGTACCTCTTGATAGATTTTTCTCTCCTTGCTCCATGGATTTTTGTTTAGTAGCTCTTTGAAATCATGTGAGATTCTGGCAGTCCTGACAAAGTGTGACAAGGAGCTTCATAGTTTAACTGTGTGTTGTATGAAAAAGTGCCTCTTCGTTTTCAACTTGCCTCTGATGACTTCATTTGATTTTTCACTGAGTAACATGATTTTCTTGCTGTTGTGTTTCTCCATAACTGTGCTTATTTCACAAACTTCTGTTTTTTCATTGCCAGTTTTCCAGGCTAACGATTCCTGGTATTTTTAATCTTTGCACAGTCACTGTTCCATTGTTTTGATCACATTTGCCACTTTCTCTAGGCTTAAGTTTTCTGTGCCCTTTCTGAACTAGGGATAAGGAACCAACACCATAAGATACATTTGTGTATCCAAGATCATACAGTGGCATAATGAAGTTTTAATTCATTATTCCTTTCATAGTCCTAATATTCTGTTTGCTGGTTTTGACTGCTGCTCAGCATTAAGCTGGCTTTTTCATAGAACTGTTACAATGTGAGAGTCTTTTCTGGGCAATAAAATTGAACTCAAATTTAACTCAATCTGTATACAGCTTTTTCTGTGTCCATCACTTCACACCAATCAACAGTGAATTTCACCTGCCATTTTATTGCTCAGTTGCTTGGCTCAATACTAAATGTTTTCAACTGCTTTTTTTGTTTTAACCCATCTTGCTTACTCTTGCAATATCAGCAAATTCAGTCACTTACTGTTTACCCCCATTTTCAGGTTGCTTTTAGGTAACACTGAGTAGCACAGACCCTATCATGAATTCCATAAAGTTTACTAGTGACCTCCTTCTGCCTCCTTCCTCCCTTTGCCTGCTGCCCCTTAACCATGAAGGCAGTCCTGTTCTCACCATATACCTTCATCCCACTGCCAACACTACATGAGTCCCTGACCTGGAAGTGTAGCACCAGTTTGATTTCGTTTCTAGGATGATCTGGTTTTGCTTGTTCTCATCAGTGTAAATAGCTTGCTTCACATCAGGAATGGTTCCTTACTGGTGAAAAAAATGGAAAGAGGGTGTACCCATCTCTGACTGCTGATGCTTTCTCTGTCACGCCTCTTTTAATTGCCTTTTCAATAAAAAAGTGATCTTTCATCACCTTTGCTTTTAAAACCAAGATTCAACAAGGACTTGTAGAGCTTCCAGTCCATATTCCGGAAAACCTAAATCTTGTGTCCTCACTGTGAAAATTCTGTGGGTTCCTTTGCTACTCATCTTCCTTGTGATGTTAGTGGGTCACAAGAGACTGCTAGAAGATTTTTGCAAATCAACCTGCATGCATTTTGGGGCAAGGGGGCATTGCTCTTCCCTTTATCCTTGTTCTTCCAGCTTTTTCAGAAGTTGGAAGCTAACATTTTTCCTATGTACCCCGGTGCTGATAATATTTGTTTTTACTGAACTTACATATATGTCTCCTGAGCTGAGTATCAACTGTGTATTTAGCTTTGCATGCCCAAAAAAGGCAACTCTAGTCCAAACACCACCTGGTCCAGGAGAGGTGGCAGCCAGCTGGGCAGTCTGAGTGAGTTTCCCCTCTCCCTGCAGGTGGGAGTACATGCACACCCCGCCAGAGAGCTCCAAAGAAGCAGAAATCCTGGAGGTTCTGCGAAATCCCAAAGACTGGGTGCACTGACACGGATCATGAAGAAGATGGATTGCTCACACTGAGCCATTTGAGAGAACGGGAACGCCTGCAAACCAGCTCATTGGCACTGCTGTTGCATGGCGTCTCATTGTGTCTATTTATATCTTGCCTGGTGCCTTAATTATGCTGTAGACTTGTTACAACTTGCAAATACGTGAACTCACTCTTTTCGATTGATTGATGGGTTAATATTGTCACCCCCTGTTGCTGTTGCCTTGTGAAGGGACTGGTGATGGCCCCACAGGGCTACTGTGCATGTTTTAGGACTTTCTCAACTCATGTGACTGACTGCAAAATGGCAAATTACTGTGAAGTGTTCTCCCGGTGAAATGAAAGCATTATCTGTGCCTAAATAGCACTGCTTACCCTTAGAAAATGTTTGGATGCTTAAACACATTTTTGTAAAGAATAAAGGGAATATTTGATAAGATTTTAAACCTTAAACTCTGCTTTCGGGAAGCTGTGGAAAAGGTGGTACTTAATCACATGTATTTGGATGCTGCAGTAGCACGACTTGGCCGATGAGTAGCTGGGAGAATCCGGGTTGGGGCACCGTGTTACCTGAGGGGAAGGCTGGCTGTCCATTTGAGGAGAAAATCTCAGCATTGAGCATTTCAGCTGTGGTCACGACAGGATAACACCCCTGCCTCAGATCAGCTCCTTTGCCGAGGAGGTCAGAGATGGATCAGGAAGCATGTTGCCCATTGCCCCGAGGGTCTCTAAATAGCACTTCACACTGTTCCCAGCCCCGGAATGATTGTTCTTTTGACTCCCGGCACAAACCTCGTCGAGGAACGTCTAGGGAAAAGCAAAGGGAGGCCGAGTGCAATTTCCCCTTGCCTGAGGAAAAAAACGACAGCTCCACCTCCCCGTCGGGGAATCGAACCCCGGTCTCCCGCGTGACAGGCGGGGATACTAACCACTATACTAACGAGGAGCGGGATGCCCGAGATTCCCCTTCTGCCACCACGGCGTACGACCTCACCTGTCGCGGGTTCCGGAGCTGCGGGTGACGGCTGTCCCTGCGCCCGGGCGGCGTGGGGACATGTCCCGCGTCGGCTCAAGGTCGCTGTCGCCGTCTGATCGCCCAAGTCAAGCTTCCCGCCGGGGGCCACCGCGTTCACTTCCGTGTTACCATCCGCCACTAAAATAAAATTAAGTAGTATTCTGCTAAATCGGCCATCTCCTCATTTTTAAGGGAGAAAAAGAAGTGGCCCGTACGGGGATCGAACCCGCGACCTTGGCGTTATTAGCACCACGCTCTAACCAACTGAGCTAACCGGCCTTCGTGCACCCCTCCCCTGTGCGCGCACCTGAGGCGCTACTACGGGCACGGCGCGGGTGGAATTCCTGCCGGGACCGGATCCGCGGCGCTACCACGACCACTCTCGTTAAACTCCGCGTCGGCGGGTAATTCCAGGGAGCCGCGGCAAAGCAGCACGGGCATTAATCGGGGCGACGAGTGCTGCTAAAAAAAAAAAGGGGAGTTCAAAACCTTTCGTTTTTCACTACTCTCTCCCTCCTCCAGTCCGCGGCCGCACCCTCTGCACGGACACGAAGCTCCCAGCGCGGGGGAAGCCCCACCGAAAAGAGCCGCCTCCCACCTTCCCTCCCTCGCACGCCGCGGGACGGGGTCCGGAGGAGGCAGGAGCGGTCCCGGGGGATAAAAGCGGATGTCACCTCCCCGTCGGGGAATCGAACCCCGGTCTCCCGCGTGACAGGCGGGGATACTCACCACTATACTAACGAGGAGCGCGGTGGTGGGTTTGTCCCTCCCCACGCACCCCAACAGGCACCTGCGCCACCCCCCGCACCTTGTGAGACCCCTGCCCGCCCCCGGCGCTCCAAGACCTTCCCTAAAATTGCGATAACGAATCGCGAGGAAAATGCTGCACCAAGGAAGGACACGCACATTTCCTAAACTTATGGGGAGCCCTGTTTTCTACTGTGGTGAAACCACCTGTTCTCAGAGGAAACTGAACCCCTCCTCAGGTGGTAAGTCAATTGGACAACTTGTAAAATCAAGACATTAAATTAAAAAATGTAGAAAATACTTAGGAATCAAATACCTGTGAGTCAGTGAAAAAGTTGTAGAGGAAGAGGACATCACCAAATTCCAAGCCCTTTCCTTCGCAAACTGTCAGTACGAGTGCTAAGCTGAACTCCTCAAGTATCCTCTCCTTTGCTGTTTCGTTTGCCACTAACACCACCTATCATAAAATACAATAATAAAAACCACTAGGAAGCCAAAAAGAAGGCAAGTGTCTGCATAGAGAAAGCATTTATAAATGTATCGTGACAATGCAAGAGCTGCCTCAAAACCAGGCAACATTTAACACAGACATTCCCACCCTCTCCACAGAAAAGATCCCAAAGCTGCCACTACAACAACAATAAATATGTGGTAGGAGGAGACAGTCATAGATCCAGTGCAAGAAAATATGCACTTAGTTAGGAAGAAATAGGACAGGATACATCTGATTAAAAAAAGAGCAGAAAAACCCAGATGTGCACGAACAAGAAAGAAACAGAAACCCACACAATGACGGCTTCTAAATTGAAAAAGCATTATTTACCAATGATATGTAGTGGCTTTAAAAATTGTGGGCAATCCACATAAAATAATTATTTTATTAGCTACAGACCTAGAAGAATCTGCAAAAAGTCATATACCTAAAAAAGCAACCCTGACGTGCTCCAAATTCAACAGGCGGTGTTTTCCTTTTGTGGCCCCTCAGCAGCACTGCTGGGTCACTAACCCTGTGGGACTCCAAGACTGTAGGTTTTTCTGCATCAGAGAGACCACAGCCCTCAGGAAGCTGATCAAAAGATTCCGGGAAACAGTACTGAAGCAATACAACCACTCCAGAGGCCAGATAAAGAGGCCTGTTGTAAGCAGAATATGGATTTTAAACTCTCTCTTATGCTCGCTCAGAAACACACTTCTGATGGATTTTGTTAGAATTTTGAGA